TCCTGACATTTCCTGGATTTTAAGAGTTGGGATGTCACCCTGGGGACCTGAGCGTATGTGGTCGTGTGATGGTCCCACGAACAAAGACTAGGAGTGATGGAGTTACAGGATGAAGAGAAAGTATTGTTTGTTTTCATGCTAATTTGTGTGTTTCTATTCCTATAGTAATACGTGTATACGTGTGTGTGTGTGTGTGTGTATATACATCAATGAGAGTTGGGCTGCTCCACCTTGAGCCCGACCAGCGACGGGGGCATCTGCCCTGCAGCAGAGGAGGAGCTGGGAGGAGACGCCCGGAGGCTGGAGCTCCCGGTGGAGGAGGACGAGGTGGTCACCGCGGGCCGGATGAGCGGAGGCGGAGGGTGGTTGTGAGGTGCTCGGTTCTGGAGCGGACGCGTCTGCAGGGGAGGGGGCTGACGGAGGAGGCTGGGGGGAGCCGAGGGAGGCGCGGGGCGCAGCAATGGAGGAGGCTGGGAGAGGGAGGAGGCGGTCTGGGTGGAGGAGGGAGGAGAGGAGCCACCGGTGATGTCTGAGGGAGAGTCCTCCATCTTGACCTAAGGGGGGGGAGGAGGAGGCAGACGGAGATCAGGAGGAGGCACACAACAGAGGATGAAGTGAGAGAAGGAGAAACAGTTGTGAGAAGACGGAGGAGGTGGAGAGAGGAGTTAGAGGGGAAAAGAGAATAGAGACAGATGGCATGTTTGCTCTATGATGAAGAGGAGACGGAATCATCTTACGACACAGGAGAGAACTTAATATCACAACCACCTGCTCCTTCTGGTGTGTGTGTGTGTGTGTATAGATAGATAGATAGATAGATAGATAGATAGATAGATAGATAGATAGATAGATGGATTCCACCCATTGAATTCACCTCAGTCACCAACAAGCATTTTAAGCTCTGAAAACGCTGACACGTGGATTGTGTGACTAAGCATTAAGTTGATGGTCCAGTTAATGACTTTATATCTTGTGTCTTCCTCAGGGCCTGTTCCGTCTTGGATTTTGGACACCAAGGACACTCAATCAAATCTGGTACTAAAACCAGCAAGGTTAGAAACTCTGAATAACTTCAGGTGTCCTTTACATCGGGGCTCACCTCGTCCCCAGCGGCTCCATCTGTTGCGGCGGCCGTGTCCTCGCCGCCCCTCCTCGGGTCTCTCTGGTCTCGGGTGGTGGCCACCTGCTCAGCCGCCCACTCCCTCAGCACCTCGTCCAGGTTGAACCTGCGCCGGTAGCTCACGAAGAACGAACTCACCTGGACAAAAATGGGGAGAGTTGGAGAGGAAATGGCTAACAAAAGTTGACTGCTCTCAACACTGCGCTCAAGGACGCGGGGACTTAGAGGTCAGTAGACAAACGAAAGGAGGGATAACGAAAATTATAGTTATCCCATAAAATAAAAATGCTTATCTAGACGGGGATGAGAAAATAAATTGGAGAAGAGATGAAAAGCTGATGGGCAGCCTCACAGAGTAAACTGCTGGGTGGAATGAGGTCACAATAAGAGATGAAAGAGGAAGCTCACCTGAGCTGGTGTCTTGGTCCCGATCACCTCAGCGATGGCTGCAAAGTCTTTACCGTAGCGACGGATAGCTGGAGAAGAGACGGTAGAAAAACCGATTAATATTGCGTCTGTGCATCATCGCCATCAAACGGCTACAGAAACGGTGTGTGTGAGAGAGAGAGAGAGAGAGAGAGAGATAAAAGGGGAGATGAAGAGAGACTGAAGTGAACGGCTTGATGATGTGTGTTTCCTGTTAACCTTCACTGAGGTTGGCTGGCTGAGTGCACTCTGCTCTCCTCCATCCACTCCTATATCAGACACACATTCATGTGTTTCAGCCTCTGCATTACACAGCTGCGGCCGATGGGGGGTTAAACGCTTTGCTCAAAGGCACGCCGACAGCAGCTGCTTGGTTCCTACTTACTACAAAATGCATCTGATTCAGCCGTTCAGGACTTATGCAGAGCTCTGAGTCCGTACCAACAAACAATAAATAACCTCATCAGCCGTGAATCCTCTTAATGAATAACTCATTGAGTGATCCTCGATAACACAACGCTCTCTTTAATTGATGAAGTGCTGGAGCGATACTAGTGTACTGATGTGGAACAGTAGCTGCTTTACTTCTCCCGGAACTGTAATTCACTTAAATCCCAGCTGGGATCTGAATCCCAATCACTCCTATCTCCGTTGCATCAAACTATAAGGGCAGTACAATAGAAAGACGTCCTTTTTTTATTATTTATTATGAAAACAAACGCATCATGTCAGATGGTAAAATAAAAAAGGTAAATAAAATATTTCCAACACAAAACAGGCCTTTTCATCTGACAGTTGTGTTTTTCTGTCTAGAGTTAGTGGCCATCTATTGCACACTAATGTATGCAGCATTGGAGCTGCATGGAATATTTTGAGTCCACTACATAAGATATAATAATATATACAATACAACAAATGGCGATAACACTATACAGTGAATAGTGAGTATGGACACAAGCCCCACTACAGTAATTAAAGTCAACCCAAGCAGAGGGGTAACTTAAAAATGTAAGTAGGCCAAAAAGGCCTATTTACATTTTTTTCAGGAGATATATGTGATGCAGTGATTCTACAGTACCGACACATGCAGTTCCTGTTTGTGGAAAATATGAATGTTAACAACATGAGGTGACTGTAAGAGGGGAGGAAGATGATGCTGCAGCCTTTACTCACCCTGCACAGCCAGTAGCTGCTCCTCCGAGGTCCAACGAGAGTTCATCTTAGGGACAGGCTGAGGGAGAGGGAGAGAGGGAGGGGGGGGGGGGAGATTAGAGTGTGAGGGAGGTAGGTGGGAAGAAAGAGAGAAGAAAACAGGAGAGGCGAGAGGGGTGAAAATGACAGCAAGAGAGAAAAGGGCAGATTAAAACTAATCTCAGTCCCACAAGGGGTGAAATGATATCTTGGGGGAGTTGGGGAAGGGCAGAGTGAACACATGCGAGAGGAGAAGGACACACTGAAGAGAGATCAGAGATGAAGAAGAGCGAGTACGCTTAGGAAATAGAAATCAAAGAGGCGATAGATGAAGGATGTAAAGGAGGGATGCTGTAAAAGAAAGGAGTGGAAAAAAGGAAGCTGTAGAATAAAAAAAGATTTACCTCAGCAGGTTTTAAAGTGTCAACACCTTCATTTAAGCTCTGCTTTAAACTACTGTTGTTCTGTTTAATAGACTGGACCTGAGAGAGAAAGTGTAGAAGTAGAGAGAGAGAGAGGAGACAGTGTAGTAAGTTTATTGGTTAGTTGCACATACACAAAGAGGCTTCTGTTACTTAAACATGCAGCTGCAGTGTCAAATGATGAACAGTTATATTATGGAAGCTGCTTGTAAAATGTGCATACTAATTGTAAAAAACAAAAAGACTGAATTCAATTCATTATAGTTATCACATAAAAAGGTGACAATTTATTTATATATTGTTGCACCATAAAGCTTTGGAGGAGGTGTTAAATTGTCACCTTTATTGGCAGATACATAGTTATAGAAACATTAAATCCTGTTGTGTTCCTTGAAACTACCTCTAGAAGGTCATGGTTGCGTGCGTGAGTGAGTGTGTGCGCATTTCTGTCTGACAAACTGAATCGAGCCGACTATAACTGAGCACGACTTCTTATGCCAGTAGGAAGAGAGCTAGTTAGCTGTTAGCTGCCGTGGTCAGCAGAGTCCTGTGGTGTGTTTGGCTAACAAAGCTAACGGCTAACGGAATTAAAAACGCACAGATGCCAAAAGATGCAATGTCAGGTTAGATTAAAAGTACTGACAGAAAGGTACACACCTGTCTCTTGAGTGACACCAACTGTGTGTCCAGCTGCCGTAAAGTCAGCACCCCAGAATCATGGGAGGCCGACACCGACCTGATGTCTCCCTGCTGCAGGTACATGCCTTTGGGTGGCCTGCGGCGGGCTCTGAGCGGGTGGTGGCGGTACTGAGCGCCGAGGTTCTCCTTCTTCACCGGCCCAGAGCGACTGGGGGTCGCCTTGTCGGAGTTGGCGTTGTTGGGGTTTTGTTTCACCGCCTGTGTTCGCAGAGAATAAACACAAATATTAGAAAATCAGGTTCTGTCAGAATGACGCCTTTAAAAAAAAATAACATTCAAGGAGGCAGCGTTCAGTTTATGTATAATAAATGAAGTTGGAATTGAAGGATAGAGAAGGCTTTGGGTTTGAGATTTGGCTAGGCTGATTTACTCAGGCAAGTCACGACTAATCAAACACACAAAAAAGTTTACATAAGCCTGCACACACGCGCACACACACACGCACTCGACAACCACTATTAGGTTTTATATTTCTCACCTCTTTCTTGGTGTCAATCTCAAAGTCACTGTCACTGCCAGGGTCTCCTTCCTCTACCTCATCATTACTAGAAAAAGTAAAACATAAAAGTAACTATCCACACCCATGGATGAGTATCGTCTCCTGCTCATTGTCTCAATTTCATCAAAAATATATCTAAAATGCTCGAGAATGTCAACAAGTCATATCAAAGTACCTCATTGGTATTCATGAGGCTCTTGTTACCCAGGACGACATGCTTATGAGTGTCATTCAACAATGGAGCTTTGTAAATGTCACTTCTCAGAGGAGTAGTTGCTGAGAACCTGCGTTTCCTTCCTGCTCAGTCCTTCCTCCAATATTCATTCCCCCCTCATTCTGTCGCTCCCTTCGGGTGATCATTAAAGTTTTATGGTGTCTCTTACCTATCTTCTTTCTCTCTCTTGCTGATCAGCCTCCTGGCCTGTCGGTCCATGACTGAGGTCCTGGTCCTGGTCTTCTTCCAGCTGTAGTAGTACTTCACGAGGCTGGAGATCAGCTTGTCAGGAAGCTACGCAACAATACAGTAATTTTAAAAAAAATGTATGAAATATTGAAAGTGTTTTTGAAAATTGCACTAAATTCTGTGTGTGTGTGTGTGTGTGTGTGTGTGTGTGTGTGTGTTCCCCCAGTCTCTCACCATCTGCTGGATGCGGTGGAAGCTCTTGCCGTGGAAGCTGAAGGCCTGCTCAAACAGCACTTTGTCCTCCACTGTCCACTCATCTGGGAAGGGGGTGAAGTTCGCCAGGTCGGCAAGGGAGCGCTCCACGTCGTGTTTGTGCCATAGTAACATGCCCAGAGCCTGAGTGGGAGGACGGGGACAGACAAGAAGGGACAGTGATAAGAGAAAGATCATTTTTGCATTTTGATAATGAAATGATCCTTCTGCCGTACCTGCTCCATGTTGTATCCATGTTTCTCTTTAGCCATGAAGATGTACTCGTCCACTGGGGGAGGAGGAGAGAAGAATGGGTTACAAAGTGAAGAGATGTAGAGCAGGGAAAGAAAAACACAACAGTGTGGTGGAGAGAGAAGGATAGGAAAACAAGTTAGAGAAAAAGAAGAACAAGGAAAAATTGAAAGAGAGAAAGAGGAATGAAGAAAATAAATAGAGAAAACGAGTGCACAGGAGAAAACACAGAGCATGAAAGTTTTAACTGATATTCTCTAGTCAGCATGTAGCCATTAAACCGAAGGTGACATTGTTAAGCTTGCACCAGCAGAGGTAAGCAGAGGTAGGTAAGTGTGTGTGAAGCTTACACATTGCATCAGAAAGTTGACTGTTGGGACACCAGACCAACATGCTCCTCTGGTCCTTCTCATTGTAGCGGGCTGGACTGTCTGGTGAGGAAAACAAAGAAGCACGTTTTGAATTGTTTTAACACAAAGTAAACACATTAGGCATTTAAATCCATTTGAGATTGTATATGCATTTTAATCCCACTCCTAATATCTCTCTCTGCCCGATCAAACTTCATATGAACTCCTACTTTCTTCCTCCCTCTCATTTGCATGTTGTCTCCTGTCTGGGCTCCATCTTTGTCTTCCTCTTCATTAGCAAGAAATACGAGGAGGAGGAGGCGGTGGCATGTCAGCCGTTTCGGGAATTCAACATCTGTGTTTTGCCAAAATGCAGACGCTAAACGAGTTTAAACGTTTGCCTGCTTCTTCCCTCATCTGGTGCAATCTGTCATCTACGGTGATTGTTTTCAGTGTTCAGCCACTTTACATCCACACCAACACATCGGGGCGTTTCAATGAGCCCCATGTCAGAATATTTAAACCTTTTCATTCCTCATGAAATAGTATTCAAACAAAAAAAAACAGGCTAACAAACTAGCTTTGCTCTGATTCTGAATCGCTACAGACTGTTCTGACACAGTTATTGAACACCCAGCTGCGTTTACTAAAGCAGATACGACAAATAAAAGGCTTGAATATTGCGGAGCTAATCCTTTTATGTATTATACAAAGTCACCACTCTCAAAAGAAACCTTTCGCTGCACGGCGTCATTGCCGATTCTAATTAACACATTTTCTAACTTTTGAAACCTCTACTTTACATTTAAAGGGATTCATTTAACGCCCCTCAAGGTACCACAGATACTTTGGGCATCTCTGTAAACCTGACAATCCACACTGAGCAAGGACAACCTCTGCCACACGTCAAAGTGTCTCCATGTCCTGGAGAGAAGGGAAGCTGGTAACTGGTCATTTTACCTTGATTTCCCTCATCATCTGTATTCCCCTCCTTCCTCCATCTCAATGTCCTCACCTCTAGGTCTCCTTCTCAGCCCTGATTTCCTCCCTCCATCTATTAACCTTCCTTTTCTCATCGTGCTTTCCTCTCAGCTTACCTGGTTTGAACTCTGGTATCTGAGCCTGGTAGTCTCCTCCCACTCTGATCATGCTGTCTGTAGAGAAAGAGAGACACACACACACACAACAAATGTGAGTTTTCTATTTCCCAGAAGGAAGGGTAGAGCTGCAGAGATAGAAGAGGATGGGGGACGAATATTCCCAAGAAGTTGCAGGAGTAACTACATCTCGCTATTAATGTAGTTACAAGAAGATGGTCAATGAGCCTAATATTACATTTTACAAAAACGCCCTCTATTGGGGGCGCTCTTGGTGGGGCACCTCCACTATAAAACACTGTGGGAAACCCTGGGGACATACCGTTAGTTTGCAAAAGAACAAACAGTCAAGTCGTCAGCCTGTGAGAAACACTCGGGGAGAACGCTTTTAATCAACTATTGAGATTCTAGTGGTTCTAATGGGTTTCAAAAGACTGCCGAGTGCGTCTGTCTTCTCTTGTTCCATTTACTTAATTGTTCCAAACATTTGGGTTTCTCAACAGTTTGGTTGAATCGCAGCAGATCGTGTCTCTCTTTTTACAAGACAACAATTCAAATTGAACAGAAATAGCATATATTGTGATAAATACCTTGAAGCGTGCTATTTTTATGCCGATAACATTTTCAGCATGTTCATCCCTAAGTGACAGTTATACAGACAAGACACAAGTGTGTGTGTGTGTGTGTGTGTGTGTGTGTGTGTGTGTGTGTGTGTG